CAGGACAAAAAGCAATGGGTGGAAACTAATCAAGGAGAGAAGCAACCTAGAATTAAGGAGAAACTTTCTAACAGTGAGGACAATTAATCAGTGGAACAGAAATTGCCTCCAGAAGTTGTGGGTGCTCCATCACTGGAAGTTTTAAAGAAGAGATTGGGCAACCTGTTGTCTGAAACGGTATAAGGTTTCCTGCCTAGGCAGGGGGTTGGACTAGAGGACCTCCAAGGTCTCTTCCAGCTCTGTTATTCTGTTAAAAAATCATTTTATGTCATAGCACAAAATGTCATATAATGGTGGTTCTCAACCTTTTCTTCACCAGGGAGACCATTTCAATGCCTCTGATCAACCATGGCCACAGACCACCAGGACTGAACTCAAGATTTAAATCTTCAAGCCAGTGTGGACCCCGTGACAACACTGCAGGCCCCAGGGGTCTGGGACCACAGGTTGAGAACCACTGTGATAGAACATTTCTTGTGGTCAGTTCGTAATATTTCACCAGGCGAGGCAGCTGTATGAGAGCTACGTTCAAGGCAAGTACACCTCTCAGTATTTCCCTGAATTTTTAAGAACTTGTTGTGGCCCGTCAGCAGCCAGCAGAGCCGGCAGACAGTGAGAAGGTTGGGAAGGAATACAGGCTAGTCCTGGGGGCTGAGGAAAGCTCAGATGAGGGCTCTGTGCCGGAGGCAGCGGGGGGGCCAGGGCCGTCTGGCAGTTCTCAGCTGCCTTCTGAGTCAGACATCAATGAGGCAGAGGAACAGCTGGAGCCTGTTCCCAGTGTGCNAAAAGCCTATTTAAACTGCAGTGTCTCTGTATGCTGGTTTGTGTGTTCTCCAACACAACACTCACAATGCTTCTCTGAACATACTTGTTCTCCCAACGGGGAGCTTACCTAACAAATGTGCATGTATTTTTATGTCTGTAAATCACCCAGGAGTACCTCATGGTATCTTGGATGGATGGATGGATGGATGGATAGATCTTTTTAAAAAATCATTAAAGACATTTTAAGAGAATTCAAACATACAAATGTTGAAAACAATAAAGAAAAGCAACAAGAAAGGGGGAGAAAACGATGCGAAGAAAGAGAGAGAGATAAGAAAAAGGAAGAAACGTTATAAAGCAGCAACTTCTGCTCTTCTTAACAGCAATTACTAATACAATTTACATTTCACCTTCTCTAGGGGGTTACATCATGACAGACGGACAATGTTTGGGTTTAATTTGTTTAGGTTTTAATGTGTATGTATGTCTATAAACCACCCTGGGTTACCCTGGGTTGGCCAATAAAATTTATAAACAAACAAGTAGGGATGTACTCTACTTAAAATGGTTACTGAGTATCTACTTGCAACTGGAAGCATAGAATGACCGAAACAGCAACAACAGAATGCACAGCAAAGAATGATAAACCAAAGTCCTTTGTGACAGAAGATCCCTCTTTATTTCACAAGTTCAGGTATAATCCTCGACTTAACGGCCACAGAATTCCCATTGCTAGTGCAGCGAGTGTTAAGTGAGTTGCACTCTGTTTTAGGACCGTTCCTGCCAGTTGGTCGGTAAGCAAACTTTTCAAAAGACCCTCGAGGCATGATTTTGACAGTGGGCCTGGGGACCCCAGGGTGGCAACGGAGCCCAGGAGGTGGTCAGCCTAATGGTCGCTGCCAGAGAGGTTGGGGGTTTAGTGGGTTTTGCAATGGGGGGGGGGGTTATTTCTGTAAACTGCCCGGAAAGATTGTAAGTGAGTTGGACGACCATATACGTTTTCTTAATAAATAAATATATTTGGAGTATAAGACGCGCCTTTTTCCCTCAAAAAAGAGGCTAAAAAACTGGGTGCGTCTTATACACTCATACAAAAATACATACTCATACAAAAATACAGCATTTTTTTGCCTCCTGAAACCCCATCCCCTTCACCAAAATGGCTGTGCAGAGCCTTTAGGAAGCTTAGACAGTGCTCCTGGGGGCTGGGGAGGGCAGAAATGAGTGAAAAATGGCCTGTTTTTGCTCAATTCCCCCCCAGCTCCCAAGAGCACTCTACAAGCCTCCTAAATGCTATTCCTTTTGAGGGGGGAAATGGGCCCGTTTTCATGAAAAACAAGCCGTTTTTGGGAGGTTTGCAGAGTGCAAAAACTTTTTTTTAAATTTGCCTCTTCAAAATCTTAGTGTGTCTTATACTCCGAAAAATACAGTACCTTTATTTATTAAGCCACCCAGAGTTACATCAGCCTATACATCTCGTAAACAAGCCAATCCATAAATAAAGAAGACCATTAGGGAACTCAGAACTGGTGCTGCTTCCCTAAACATGGAAATATGGGAAGCAGCAAATTCTCTTTTTAAATTTCCTCTTGGGCATGTACCTTAGAGGGAACAGTGATTAGGGGACTGGAGGCTAAAACATATAAAGAAAGGTTGCTGGAGCCGAGGTGGCGCAGTGGTTAAATGCAGCACTGCAGGCTACTTCAGCTGACTGCAGTTCTGCAGTTNGATGCTTGAAAAGATTCAGAATTAATTTAATTAATTACGGACAGAAAGGAAGAAGAGATCTCTCATTATCCCAGCCGATCTAGACTGCATCAATTAGTTATCAGAATCTGGATTTACATTCAAGATAGGTATTAAGTAGATTTTGCCCCATTTTACGACCTGTCTTGTTGTTAATTGAATCTGGCTTCCCCATTGACCTGTCATGTGGTGGCCAAAGGGGGTCATATGACTCTGGGACATGGCGATCGTCATAAATATGAACCGGTCCCCACTTCCGGCATGCGGAAGGTTCGCCATCGCGGCTATAGGGCCTCCTACTCAAGCCGTGGGCTAGACTAGAAGACCTCCCAGGTCCCTTCCAGCTCTGTCCTATCATGTTTTGTGATCTCCCACAAAGGCACTTACTGGTTTTCATTCAGGAAAAACGGTGCTGAATATGAAGGTGCAAACAGGGATGAACTCCAGCAACCGGAAGGAGAATTCTGCAAAACGACAAAAGGAGGTTTCAAAATACGTGCGGAAGGTTCAGGAACGTTCCAAGCTTTTTCAGAGTCCGACTACAGTAACTACAGTAGTTGATAATTCAAAGGACGCACACCGTGTTTCCCCGAAAATAAGAAAATGTATTCTTTTGACAACCCCGCCTCCCCCCGCTTTGGTCTTATCTTTGGGGAGGTCTTGTTATTTTTGAGGTGAAGGAGGAGGGGAGCATGGTAAACTCATGGTTGCTGCTATGTTGCAATATTTTCAGGGAGGGCTTATTTTAGCGCCTGCGCTCAAAAGCCCGATTGTGTTTATTATCCGGGAGGGCTTATTTTTGGGGAAACAGGGTATATAATGTAGAAACAATGCTCCTCAGGAGCAAGAGAAGCATTGAAAGAAGCCAGCAGTTTGCAGAAATATTTTTAAAAAAAAAACTTTGGGGGGAGCAAAATGACAACCCACCCCACTAGGACTGGCCCATCCTACCTGTGCTGGCAGAGGAAGCATGCTACAGGTCCCACCAGACCAATTATTCCGGCTGGTGGGGTCCATGAGCAGGGCCTTCTCTGCTGTGGCTCCTGCCTTCTGGAACATTTTGCTCCCCCCCACAATGTGAGTTTGCCCCCCACCCCCACCCCCATCCTCTCGTAAGGGCCTGAAGGCCTGGCTCTGCCACTTGGCCTGTGGCTCCAGTGGGGGAACAGCACAATGGACGAGGTCGACTGAATACCAGATCTAAACTGTTAAACTAGACATACCCAGTTCCTGCAACCGTTCTTCATATGTTTTAGTCTCCAGCCCCCTAATCCTCTTTCTTGCTCTTCTCTGCACTCTTTCTAGAGTCTCCACATCTTTTCTACATCGTGGCGACCAAAACTGNGATCTGAACATTTTTGAAGCACACTGAAAAAGACAATAACTGAGATTGGATTGCGCACTGTCCAATTTTTTGATTGTATTTATAACCTAAAACAAGGAGGTGAATACTATATAAAATTAAAGGGCAATATATTGAGTTACAAAAATGTGCATAACTGTAAATAAAAAGAAGATAGCTTTTACGAAGCATATTTGTAAACCATAAGAAAGGTTCACAATATGTGTTCAAGATGTTAACTCTAGAAAATGGAAAACTTTTCTCTGGAAGTTTCTACTGATTGGCTAGTTGGGTCTACGGTATAAGAAATAAATAACAACTAAGGCATCAATACTCTTTTGGGCTACAGCTACATAATCCAAATAAGAATTCATTCAACATGGAGTTCCCAGTGGTTCCTTCCATTTGGCTGCCCTATGCCATGCAATATGTCCTGTGTATCTCCTACACAGAGCAAACGGAAGTATTTTAACAGTTAGTTTAAAAAGGGAACAAACTTCCTTCGCTAGCCTAACAGGCTGTGCATTAAAAATTCCAATATTATCTTTCTAACTATAAGAGGCAAGTTGTGAGGACTTACAACTTTATAGAGCCTTTACGACTTTACATTCTGCTTTTGGCACATTTTGCCATAGGTTCAATTACAGCCTTGGGTAAGTGAGATTAAAGGAAAATACTGAATAGGGAAGAGGCCGCATACTCCAATTAATCCAAGAGAGAAAGAAAACTTACACATGGTCTTCAAATTATCTACTTGGAGTCCTGTGGTCCTTAATAAGATCCAAAATGGAAACATCCTAGTTCTGTGTAATACGTAAAGCATGAAAGGGTTGCTCAGGAAATAAGAGTTTTTTTAAATAATTAAAATTGTTCTATAAAAAAGAGAATTTAATCCATTTTGAGGTCATAATTAGTATTATGCAAACCTTGTTAATCAGTAACAAGGGACTCTTTTCCCTTAATGTTTCTGTTAAAAGAGGGTGTTCTTCATTTTGTTATATACAAAAACTGTGGGGGTTTTTTTAAACCGCCTATATAAATAATTATACATTATGTCCCATTTTCTGGAAATAAAATTATAATTCTTCAGTAACAAGATGACTTTGTGTTCTTATTTTTTAATCATCCCCTTTCTTCTTCAGTCACAAAGAAATGTTATCCTTAGAAAATTTGGATTTTAAGTGTTATTACGAATTGAGAATTTAGACCAGCAAACATTTCTATTTACATCAACAGTACTTGCATCAAAATCAAAATTAACATAATGGAGGAGAGGACGCATTTACCAGTTGAAGGAAGGAATTGGATTTCACCTGTAAGGTTCTGGACATTTCTATTTGTGTTAAAATGATGGAGAGTGTTTATATGCATGCCTTTTGCCTTTGTAGTCCTGTCTAATAATGTAATTAAGTATTTCAATAAAATTCAAAATACAGTTTCTGATAAACGTCATTTGAAACGCAGTGATTGTTTTGAAATCACTCTTTTATGAAGACGGAAAAGGCAATGCAAGGTCTTTGTTAATTCTAAAAATATTTCTGCCATCTAAAGAGCTTTTCTTTCATGCTTCATAGAGAGAGAAATGCAACTGGCATGTTACAAAAGGGAGAAGAAAAGTATCCTCTTTGCAGCCAAAATGCAGCGATGAATTGCATTTAGTTAGTAACAATAAAGATGGCTAAATCAATGCACTTAAATGCACAATATTTCAGTGTGAAGAATTGTCACATTGGTATTCATAGGCTTTTTATAAAACAGAAAATACATTCACTGTTTCCCATGGCTCCGTGCTGCAATTACACTTCTTTTAAAAAGTAGAATTTTTTGAAATTGGATCACAGATGTTTCTTTTCAATGGATCTTGAAAACCAAAGGAATTGTTACAACTCATTCATCCATAGCCATAAAATTACAGCTCTAAGTTGTTGGCACTTTTAGGAACATACCATCATGAACTAAAATGGAGGTGGAGGTCTTATCTTTTGTTCAGACGAGCAATAAACTTGTCCAACTTCAAACCCATTAGCAAAGGAGAACATCGAGAAATTTAAGGGGTTTACTCATCTTAACTTTCTTATTGACAATATCTCTGTAAATAATTTAATGGTGAAACAGGGGAAAGATTTTCAAAAGCACAAAGGAAAGGAAGCTAAATTATACCTGAGATAAAAAAAAGAATATTCTGCAGGAAAAAAGTTGGATATCCTGTTGTCTACCTATGCGTAATGATAAAACTAGAATATCCACAACTTTAAGATCCTGTATTATATCATTTGTGCTTTTGAAGATCTACACACTGAATTGGGATTTTAATCCTATATGAATTCCACATGTGAAATGAAACTTAACATTATACTTCTTTTCACATTTCTTTTTAGTCTGATTATTTCACCCCCCCCACCCACCCCCAAAATATGTATAAACCGAGGCACAAGTGGTTAAGGATGAGACTGGACATGATCTGATCTAGCAGCTGCTTCTTGCACTGGTACATTTCCTGGCACCAAAGGCTGATTGCCGCCCACTGGATGATTTTGCACATTTCCATCTAATTGTGATGCAGCTGTAACACAAAATATTTTAAAATGTTATTTGCGTAAGCAATTGTTTCATAATCAAAATCTCATTTCTCATGAAGTAATGTTCTGAAAAAGTCCAAAATATATAATACACATTATTGTTTGATATATTCTGATATAATGGTAGAAGTTTGAACATGATGCTCACTGCTGGGACAGTCATGTGACCTGGGGACGCCAAAAGGTGGAACAGCTTGCTAAAAGATAACTAAGCAATTGGTGATAAGGGGTGGGGAGGAACGTGGGGTTCTGGCGGGAAGCAGGACCAAGGCCTTGAGGGATGCCAAGAGTCAAAAGCAAAGCAAAGATGCTCAAGGCGTGGGGGAGGCACAGGGCACAACCTGCATTAGGTCTCCCAGAGCCTTCCATGGGGCTCTACATAATGTCCACATTGAGGAGGACAGGGATGGGGCATCATGATTTCTGACTGTAATGGCCAGGTTCCATTACAGATAGTCCTCAACTTGCAACAGTTCTTTTATAGTCACCGTTTGAAGTTACAATAGCACTGAAAATAATGACTTATGCCCATTTTCACACTTATTGCCATTGCAGCAACCTCATGGTCATGTGATTTATATTCAGATGCTTGACAACTGACGGTTGCAGCGTTCAGGAATCATTTTGCGACCTTCTGAGCAGCAAAGTCAATGGAGAACCCAGTTTCCCTTCACAACCGTGTTACTAATTTAACAACTGCAGTGATTCACTTAACAAATGTGGCAAGGAAAGTCATAAAATGGGACAAATTCACTTAACAAATTTTTGACAACAACATAAATTTTGAACTCAATTGTGGTCATAAATTGAGGACTACCTGTATAGTCATTGGTCGAGGACTACCTGTATACTGTTGTGGTAAAGGAAAAGCAGTCTATTTTACTGCCTTGTTTTTCTACTAGGCAGGCAAGTAAAAGAAAATCAATGAAAGAAAAACAGAGCAGGAGGAAGATAGTTACTTACCTGGTTGAAATTTCAGTTCTCCATCTGGACCTGAAGGGGGATGTCCTTGCTGTAACTTCTTATGTTCCATTTGTTTAACAGCCTGTAAAACAATTAATTTACATGTAACACGATGGAGAACATTTAAACAGAGGCCTCAAAATTTTCATTTTCTATAATAAACTGGCATTTAGCTTTCTGGTCTTTCTTGCCATGCTAAGCCAGATTCCTCGGTTAAAAGGAACCAGAATCTGAATTTTTTTGATGGACCAAGCAAGAACTTACAACTGAAACATACCACAAACACACAAGGCAGAGTTACAAGCGGGCACCTTTTTCCTGAACTGTTCAAAGGACCAGCCATGTTATTTTGGCAAATAAATCAAAAAGTACCAGAACAGACAAAATAACAACATACTAAAATAATTAACCCTCTGCTGTCTTTCCATAATACCCAGCCCAGCTTTCTAAGGATTCAAGTGGTTGTGAAAATACTAACAGACAACTGCACATTCTTTAGTGAACTGGTTAACAGACAGAAAGCCTCTTTGTTCAGAGAGGGGACATTAAACACGAGGGAAGTTTATGTCTTAACAAGTTAAAAGATTCTAAAAACAAAAGGAGTCCAGTTGTAGAAATTTCTATAATCTATTCAGCTTCTTTTTAAATAAATTTTGTTGAAGACGACTGTGAGAATCTTGCTTTAGGTCAGAGATGAGGAAGAGTGGCCCCTTTATGGCTTATGGACTTCAACTCCCAGAATCCCTGAGCCAGCTGGCCTGGCTCAAGGATTCTGGGAGTTGAAATCCACAAGTCATGAAGTGGCCATCACTGCCCACCTCTGCTTTAGGTAAAGTTACTGCCAAAGATCTGACACTCATTTTGCCCATCAATAGAGCTGTCCCTGTCCCTCCAGAATGGGGATGCTTGTCACTAGTGAGCCCGTCCCATGTAGGCAGTGCAGGTAATCCTCGACTTACAATAGTTCATTTAGCGATCGTTCAAAGTTACAACAGAACTGAAAAAAAGTGACATGATCATTTTTCACATGACTGCTGCAGTGTCCCCATAATCACATGATCAAATTTTGATTGCTAGGCAACAGGTTCATATTTATGAAGTTTGCAGTGTCTCAGAGTCACCTTTTGATAAGCAAAGTCAATGGGGAAGCCAGATTCCCTTAACAAGCGTGTGACTAACTTAATAACTGCAGTGATTCACTTAGCCACTGTGGCAAGAAAGGTCATAAAATGGGACAAAACTCATTTAACAGACTTCTCGCTTAAGAACAGAAAATTTTGGGCTCAATTGTGGTCCTAACTCAAGGACTACCTGTATATGCAGTATGCATCACTTCATAGTTGTGATGCTTTATGTCTTTAATAAAAGCAAAATGAATTAGCTTCCAAACTTGCAAAGGAAAGCTTGCAACTGTTCTAGTTGTACCATTTCAAGTTCTTGTTTCTGAGTCTGAAGGAAGTCCTGTTGCCTCTGTAGTTCTTCCCTCTTTTTCTGAAGTTCCAATGCCTGCTTTTGCAATTCGTCTTCTTGCTGGAAAATGTGACTTTCAAATTCCTTCAGTTCTTCTTCAGTGAAGACCTGCTGCTGGTCCAGAGTCTCAAAAACAACAACAACAACCAATTTTAACTCCTTAAAAGAAATCTTAATGGGGGAGAAATCAGAGTCATCTACATCTGTATTGGTGTCCAAGATTTAAGATGTTTGTTGATCACCTACTTTTGGATAAGGGGAAATTATACTTTTAAAACACTCTAAAATTCCTCCCAAGTGAAAGGTAAGGACACAATTTCTCAACATTGCCCTTACTGTTCCATCAGCTTCCCATTTCCCTATTCCATGTACACACCTGGAGTTAATTTGCCTTTGGAGTAAATTTAAAAACCAAATTGCAATCAACCTCCTCATTAAAGGGAGAAGAACTGAAGTCTACCACACCACAGAGCAAACCCCAACAGAGACCACCTGCCAATAGAAGACCTTGTGTCTAAGCATCTTCTGAGCTGCTTCTGAAACAAATTGCTCCTCCTTACAGCAATAACGAAGATGAACTATGTCCACCATTCTTGGATTTTCTGACTTTCTGACTTTTTCCATGGACAAAGTTGAGTCCAGAAAATATATGGACTGTATTTGTTTTAAATGGATGGTTATTCACCGACTTAGCTTTCATATCCCCATGATTTCCCTTGGGTACTATCCATGAGGTACAGTGGAAGCTCTTAAGGTTCCTTTTTAACTATGGACTATTACTGTAAGGAGAGAAATTTCCAGAAACAGTAGTATTACAACTGTATAATATTTTTCATCATAGCCAAATTTGGGATAAAATGTATACATGTAGAAAAAGACAGGTAAAACAATTATTCTCTTTTTCTTCCAACTTTAGTTATTCCTTTGCTCAAATTCTATTGCCATAATGTGCATTCTTACTCAGTTTCAAACAATGACTGTTCAAATTTTATTTTCATAATGTCATTAATGATAAATACAGAAAAATAGAAAGAAGAAAAAATAGATGATTAAAAGTTCAAAACAGATGGGCCATTTGCTGATGACTACGATCAATCTTAGTTCAAATGTGTCATTAGTACCTCCCAGCTTTCTGGCTCCAAAAACTCTTTTTTCTGTGTAGCTCTCATGAATTCTTCCATGGTGACTAACCGGTCTTTGTTGACATCAACCTTTTAAAAGAGAAGCAAATACACAGAGAGAGAGAGAGAGAGAGAGATTGAGATTTTAGGCTAATTTGTTTGCAGTTCTTAAAACAAATGGAAATGAGGTTGCAGAAAAGTCATGACAGAAATTCCTGGCTCCATGTATCCTCCCCTACTTAAGGAAATCCATATTTTGGTACACAATAAAATAAATTAGGATTAGTTATACTGCATAAAACATAATGGTAATAGGGATGGGAATAACTGATAAGTGCCTAAGCAGCAAAATACAAATTAATCTCATCTCATGGGGTTCTGCAAATATTTCTATCCTGATGAGATACGTGGAATTCATCAGTAACATTTAAAACTCCATGTCACTCAAGTATCAATAGCATGTGAGAATTTAATATTTTCTTATTATGTGGCCAAAAAAACCCTCCCCCCTCACATAACCAGATTAGAAATATCAAATCTGCATGATCATGGTGAACCTGACAGAAGAATCATTCATTGAGAAGCTGGTTTTTGCAATGACAATAGGCTGATCATTCAACAGTTTGAAGGTAGAAGTTTTAATAATTATATAAATATAATTGCTGTAAAAAGTTGTAAAGTTGTAAACACTAGCTAGAATAGCATTCTTATTAATTAAAAATAAAGATGGATTCACAGAAACATTCCCACCCCAAGCAATCTGTTCATGAACAATTACTCATTGCACTATTTAGATATAATTCAACAGCAAACTGTAATAAAGCTATGCATATAAGGCTAACTAGATCAAACCAGTCAGTCCTAGAGGAGATCAACCCTGACTCCTCTTTAGAAGGCCAAATCCTGAAGATGAAACTCAAATACTTTGGCCACCTAATGAGAAGGAAGGGCTCATTGGAGAAAAGCCTAAGGCTGGGAAAGATTGAGGGCAAAAGAAGAACGGGACAACAGAGAATGAGGGAGCTGGATGGAGTGACCGAAGCAGTAGGCGGGAGCTTAAATGGACTCCAGAGGATGGTAGAGGGCAGAAGGCCTAGAGGAACATTGTCCATGGGGTAGCGATGGGTCAGACACAACTTCGCAACTAACAACAACAAAGACATGTAATAATAAACTTACACTATATTGGGGAGGGGTCAGGAAAGCTCTGAAATAAGCACTTTCAGAAACATGTTTTAGTTTGGAAAATATGCCCACTATTTAAATACATACTTACAAACCTGTTTTTAACATTTAATTGTAAAATGTGTGCCCTGAAGCCTTACCTCATTCATGACATGCTCTCTCATTCGTAGCCTCTCTTCTTCCATTTCAACCATATCATCCTCTTCATTTTGGGGGTCATAGACTTTCTCTAACTAAGATTAAAAGAAATATGCTTTGAACAGGCTATTCCAAATTTTATTACTTGGTTATGAAAATATGTTGCTTTAATGCTATTTATTTATTAAACAGACAGCTCACTGCAAACAGACAACTGTCAACAACTTAACAAAGTATATGAAATAGCAAAAGTTAAAATATCCACAGTATGATAGACATCATAAATAGCAAATGCAACAAAATACAAAGATCAACAAAAATAGATATTTGAGATAAATATTTTCTTCCTATGTATTTAATAGGACATAATAAAATTTTGGATTATCTTCCCTTGGGAGATATTCAGAGATACTGTGTTTCCCCGAAATTACGACATGTCCTGATAATAAGGCCATGCTACATTTTTCTGGTGGGCAAAATATAAGCCCTCCCCTGCAAATAAGCCCCCTGGACAACCCCCCACCTCTGACCAGGCAGAGTGCCGCTCACCAACCTAGCTGTATCCCAAAGGTGCTAAGCTGCGGGAACCCGGGGGGGGGGAGGCAAAGGTGATCGTGTTGCTTAGTGCCTTCGGGATACTGTGCCCAGCTGAAAAGGGGGGTTGTCATGTGGCTGCTCTCTTGTGAGCAGGCTCCCAAAGAGCCGGGCACAGCTTCATGGGCGAATGTCTGTGTTGTGCTGTCGTAGCAGTACAGCACAGCAGCCATGAAGCAACCACACTCATGCACAGTCACCCAGCGGCCATTGCCGGAAGACTCAGTTTGGAAGCCGCAAAAAAAGCCATGTGGCGGCGGTGGCAGAGGTTCCCTGGCTCTGTGGAGAGAGCTGAGCCATGCATTGTGAGGCTGGCAGGCGCGTGAGCGAGAGCAGAACATCTGCTCACGCAACCCCCCCTCCAGCCATGCAGAGTGCCATTTATTGCCATTTTGAAGGCGCCAAACCGCGGGAGCCGGGCGGCGCCGAACAGGTGCTCACGCCGCTTGGCGATATCCCTAGGGTTTTAGTATTATATAATTGATAGAGGAGACTGAAACTTCAATGTTCAAGGTGATTGAATCATTAAGAAATTGAGGAATTAACCTTCTATCCATACAAAAACATCTCACGTGTCTTTGAATACATATGCCTAGTTATGGGACATTTACATATAATATTGCTAGTCTCAGCTTAATGAGTGCCAGATATTTGAATGTACTTCACATTAGCCGCCCAGCAATGTTTAAGAAAATTGTTCATAGTTTATAAAAGATGAAGCCCAAAATGAGGGGAGAGTCTGCTTAGATTAGGATATATCACTCTAATGATATTCAGTACTACTGAAATGAATTCATAAGCTGTTTCTTATTCAATTAGCATCTGAAACAGTAGATACCGATGACTTACGTTAAATATTTTCCTGACATTCACTATATTTGCTAATGTAAACCGTCCTTCAATTGCTATGACTGCCCTAAAGAATACCTTTAGAAATAGTAATATTATTCTGTTTTGTACAAGTTCATTTGAGTTTGAGTAAGATATAGTTAATTAAACTGCGAAAACTCAATGTCCATTCTAACATTCCCATTCAATGGTCACTATTTGCTCATGCACTGAGCCAAATCAAACCTCATGATTCTGAAATAATCCAGTTACACATATTTACCTCCTTAGTAAATAAAGCTTCTAATTCCTGTTCATCCAGAAACCCATCAGCATTGACATCTGTTAAAAAAGTCATATAAATATATAATTAGAGATACTAGCACACCCATACATAATTCTAGACCACAATCATTCCCACTTTAATATTTGGATATGTTGCTGCAAATCATATGGTAAACTACCTGATTAGAAAAAGTGAATGCAAAGCCATGTACAATAATGTGCGCACACACACAGACAGACACACAAAGTATATTGTTGTATTATATATATTGTTGTATAATATTAGTGACCCCCGGGGGAGGGCCTTCTCTGTGGCTGCTCCAGCCCTCTGGAACGATCTCCCCGTGGAGATTCGGACCCTCACCACCCTTC